ATATATATTTACCACATTTTCTTTATCTAATCATCTATCAAAGGACATGTGAAGGAAGTAAAAGCAAAAATAAATAAATTGGACTATACCAAACTAAAAAGCTTCTGCACTAAAAAAAAAACCAAACCAAACCAAACCAAACCAAACCAAAACAAAAAAACTATCACAGGGGCTGGCTGAGTGGCCTGATGGTTAAGAACTGGCTTGGGACACCAGAGGGCGCTGGTTCAGATCCCACATATGAGGGCCAGTGACACTGCCCTCCACAGCTAAGATGCTGAACAACAGCTCAACCTGGAGCTCAGCTGCCCTGAGTCGCCCCAGACAGTGTAGGCTGCAGCCCCTGTGGCAGTGGGTTGTCATAAGCTACCGTGTGTAGCCAGCAGCCAGCGTGAGCAGCCAGCAGCCGCAGTGAGCGGCCGTCCAAAAGCTGGCGACTGATCTGCCTCACCTGGGAAGAGCGCAATGATGGTGCCAAATTGGGCCAGTGAAGCAACGTCCTCCACAAATAGATTGAAGAACAAAACGACAGCAACTTGTCTGTTCCCCTCCCCCCAATTCCGCAGCGCTGTTCCCATCCCCCCCAATTCCCCAATAGAAATCTTTAAAAAAAAAGTATCACAAAACAAAGAGGCAACCAACTGAATGGGAGAAGATACTTGCAAAAAACATCTTCAATAAGGTCCAGTATCCAAAATATATAAAAATCTCATGCAACTCTAAAAAAATCCAATTAAAATGGGCAGAGGACCTGAATAGATACTTCTCCCAAGACGACACACAAATGGCCAACAGTTATATGAAAAGGTGCTCAACTTCACTAGCTATTAGGGAAATATAAGTCAAAACCACAATGAGATACCACCTCACACCTGTTACAATGGCTTTTACCAACAAGACAAGGAATAACAATTGTTGGAGAGGTTGTGGAGAACAAGGAACCCTCATATGAGGTCTAACAAGTTTGCAACCTTGTTGCAATGAGGTTGCTAACCTTTTTTGATATCAGAGGGATTATTAATTATGTATGTGTACCAACAGGACAAACAGTTAACCAAGTTAACTATTTGGAAATGCTGAAAAGGCTGTGTGAAAAAGTTAGACGACCTGAACTTTTTGCCAACAATTCATGGCTCTTGCATCACAACAATGCACCAGCTCATATGACACTGTGGGAGTTTTTAGCCAGTAAACAAATAACTGTATTGGAACACCCTCCCTACTCACCCGATCTGGCCCCCAATGACTTCTTTCTTTACCCAAAGGTAAAGGAAATATTGAAAAAAGGACATTTTGATGACATCAAGAGTAATATGATGACAGCTCTGATGGCCATTGCAGAAAGAGTTCCAAAATTGCTTTGAAGGCTGGAGTAGGGACTGGCATCGGTGCATAGCTTTCTAAGGGGAGTCCTTTGAAGGTGAGCATAGTGATATTCAGCAATGAGGTATGTAGCACTTTTTCTAGGATGAGTTTGCGAACTTAATTGTCAGACCTCGTATACTGCTGTTGGGAATGTAAATTGTACAGCCAATGTAGAAAACCATATGGAGTTTCCTCAAAAAATTAAGAATAGAGTTACCATATGACCCAGCAATCCCTGTTCTGGGTATCTACCCACAAAATTTGAAGTTATTTATTCATAAAGATATATATCTCCCTATGTTCACTGCAGCATTATTAATGGTGGTCAAGACATGGTATATGGTTTCTTTTTGGAGTGATGAAGATGTTCTGGAATTAGGTAGTGTTGATGGATGCACAATTTTGTGAATATACTAAAAATACTGAATTGTATACAATGAAAAGGTGAATTTTATGGTATGTGGATTCATTTCATTAAAATAAAAAAAACTGGGAACAACCAAAGTGTCCCCAGACATTCATCCATACAGAATTAGTTAAATAGAAAATTATGATAATCCATACAATGAGATTGTCTACAGCCATTGAAAAGACATTTTAAAATGAGAAGAAAGAATGTGTTATATGGAAAACTCACCAGGCTATATATGGTTATGGTAAAAACAAAACAAAAAACTACATAAAACAACTGAATACTTAATAGAATTCTAAAAAATTCCTTGTTAAATAGTACATTAAAACCTAAAAATAAAACAAAAAAATCATACCTGTATTCTCCCTCCGAATCATTCTTATTTCTCATTTTATGAAAATGTTACAGAAACTCCATTGTTCTTATCCCCAGGCATGTACTTGAAAAACAATTAACAGAGGAGTATGTTATATTTTACATGGAAGAGAAAAATTCTTGGCCTTGAGATGAAAGCTCACTTCCAAAAGAAATCACAATGAATCAACCAATTTCTCAATAAAAAAGAAAGAAAAAGAAAAGAAACCTAAATGAAAACACGTTATTATCACCCAGAGGTGGGTTCAGTTTAGTTCTTTGTTTTTGTTCTCTTTTTGGGCACTTTAAATTATGAAAGAAATTCAGATCTATGTCATTTCTCAAATCAGTTCTTCAACCTAACAGTGCCCTCTTCTGGTTCCATGACTCACATTAAGCTAGTTCATCCGAGTTAAGGAACAAGAAACAAAAACCTAAAAAACAAAAAACTCCCACAAAACTTAACTAGGAAAAGATGATGGGGAAAAATCATTTTGAAATCTAGAAGTAAAAGGCTTTAGTTTTTATTCTAGTATAACAAAAATAAATAAACAAAAATCCAGTTGCAAGTATGATGGTGGTTACCAAAGGCTGGGGAGAGAGGAAAATGGGAAGTTGTTTAATGTGTATGAAAATTTTGTGGAGATTGTTTGTACAACATTGAGAGTATATATAACACTGCTGAACTGTGCACTTAAAAATGGTTAAAATCTTATGATGACTTCAAAGGAACCACTGATGCAAAAAAATGGTTAAAATGGTAAATTTTATGTTATATGCATTTTACTACAATAAAAAATAAAAATAAATAAATCCAGTTGAAGTATAAATAGTCCAGTTTGATGGCAGCAGCTCTAAGTTGAGACTGTTTTCACCTCAATCAAATGTTTACCATAAATCAAACCCACCTGGATTTGATATAATTTTTAACTCCTGTCGTTTCACTAAAATAGGCACATATTTATTTTTAATTTACTAAAACTAGATATAAAACAACATCATTTCAACTTTTACTCTTAAAGTCTTTAGTCTCCCAAACTTAGAGACCCATGTAAAAATATTGTAAAAATGTTACATTTACCTTGGAAAATAATAAAATATTCTGCAGTATCAAAAAATAAAGACTCCAAGGTTTGACTTCTACTGAGTCAAAGGCATGAAGTTCACTTATGAAGAACAGTAGGAACAAGTTTGGAGGATTAGGGATAGACCAGTGATTCTAAGCAGGTATGATTTTGCCCCCCAGGGGACATTTGGCAGTGTCTGGAGATATTTTTGGTTATCACAACTGGGGGTGTTGGGGGGTGCTACTGGCATGGGTTGTGATACTGGTGAACATCCTGCAATGCACAGGACAGCCACCCCCACCTCCCACACCACGACAAACAATAATCTGTCCTCAAATGTCAATTGCCAAGAGAGAGAGATGTGTCCTCTGACTTTGGCCATCTTTCTTAGCCTTTGTAGCAGGCTTCTCTTCTTCTGTGTCTAATTACTCACTCTTCTGTCTTTACCCCACTTCTCTTTTCTCTACATTTTCTAGTGGGGGATATCATCCATTCCCATGACTTCAGCTACCACATCTATGTTACTGACTTACACATATTTATATCTAGTCGCTACTGCTCTTCTAGCTCTAGCGCCTTCATTCTCTTGATTTCCCATCGCATATTTTTCATTAACCTACTACTACATTTCTTGTCTTTATTAGTAGTTCTTATAGAAAACCACAGGGTCATTTATATTCCAAACATTTCCTGAGTATCTAGTGTGCATAAAGGGCTGCACTGGTACTTAAAGGAAGGTAGAGATGATGGAGATGAGAGGCAATCCTGGTTAACAAGTGTTTTAATTGCATTACCCCTGATTATGGCAATAGTTTTGCAAGGAAGAAATTATCTCCTGGATAATTAAGTGTTTAATCAACTGCTTAAATATTACAAGCTTGCAAATAGCTTTTAGTAGTCAGATCTGACTTGATATTAAAGATATAATTATCTTCACTATTTAAAAAAATAAAATAAAATGAGGACAGTGCTGGGAAAGTGTGGTCTAGTTTGTCCATAGCCAAAGGGGGATGGATGTGAATGGTGAGGGCCTAAGTAGTTCCAGTAGCCTTTTCTTCTAAGCCACATTGCACCGTTTTCTGATTAACTACCGTATATCATTGAATACACGTGAGATGGTGAGCTAAATCATTATTATTATTATTATTATTTTAGCTGAGCCATCCTGCTACCTGTTGGCAGCTCAGCGGCTGCTCAGCTTGGGCTGGACTCGAACCGCTGTTAATCAGAGCTCAAGCCCTTGAGCGAGCTCTTAACCAACTGAGCCACTCGGCTAAATCATTATTTAATATAACTCTAGGAAAAAAATAAACAGAGCCAATTAAAGTATGCCCCGCCATCAATTGTCAGGGATTTCTTAGACGTTGAAGCATTTAAAAAGGCAAGCCTGAGGTGAGCTCCGGGCGGCCTGAGGGCCCGGCCGGCTGCTCTCCCTGCTGCCGCCGAGCTGAGCGTGGCGTCCTCCCCGCCCCGCCCCCAACCGGCCCGTGTGGACGCGCCGTGAGAATTCTGAGTCCGGCGCTTCCGGCTCCGCGCGCGTCCTTACCGCTCAGTGTCAGCCCGATCGAAAAAAGACGCATTTTCTCTTCTTTCACGTCCCATTTCCCCCCTTTTATCTCACGGTCTCCATTTCCGTGAAGCGTCCACCTCTCAGGCGTTCTTACGTTTTCACAGGGTGTTAAAAAAATAAATAAAGGCAAGGCTTTAGAGAGTTCTAATTTGTTGAAATATGCAGAAAAAAGTGACCTTACATTCTGACATACGGAGAATTTATTTTCGACATACGGAGAATTTATTTTCCACATTCAACTTCCAAGGTCAGTACTAGTGTGCTATTCTGCACTTTCGTCAATTAACACCTTTGTATGTTGTCAAGTGGCCATGGGCATTTTCGCGGCTTTGTGTTACGCGTATGCAACTCGATCTTAAATCCCTCAGCGCTTCAATCATTTCTTTGTTTTCCCCGCCTCCGCCCCCGCTTCCGCCTCCGCCCCGCCCCTCACACTCCGCGTGGTTCCACCATCTATGCTGACTTTATTATTTAGGCGTAAATCTGAATTTCTCCTAATCTTAAAATTGCATAGGTTTTATAAGTCTGTCCATAGATGTAGTTAAACTAGGGCGGAGGGACGATGGAAAAGTATTATATATACGCATCATTTTTTTAAAGACTAATCCTCGTAAAAACGTTAAAATGGGGTGAGGGCGGGAGCTGGGGCGGAAGCAGCGCAGGGATATACGTATCAGGATACCGGAAATGCGGTGAGAAGCCGGAGGAAGCTCTGTTCCTGGAGGGGAGCCGCCGCCATCTCAGGTCTCTTGGCCTCGCCAGGCTCCACCAGAGAGAGTTGCAGCCAGGTCCTATAATCCTTATGGAGGACCAACCTTGTACCTCCGGGAGATCCACGCTCCCACCTGGAAACACGCGGGAAACCAAGCCTCCAAAAAAGCGCTGCCTCCTAGCTCCACGGTGGGATTATCCGGAAGGAACCCCGAACGGAGGTAGTACTTCTCTCCCCACCGCACCTCCTCCTGCATCGCCCGGCCTAACGTCGCACCCTCCTCCTCCGGAGAAGTAGTAAAATATACTTCTCCCACCTTAAAACAGGTCAGATTCTTTATCATCTGGGACATCCTGCCTCTCTGAAACTTAATTATGCATTTGCCAGTTCGTCTTCCGTTTTCCCTGTTCTCGCCACGATTTTAAAATGGAAGAAAATATGTATGCATTAAATAACTTTCAAAAAATAAGCTTGGATAAAATTATGCATATTTAATGACATTAAGTATTTTTAATATATTGGTTGTGATAATTGTGGGTATTTTTAAGAAACAGACAAGTATTTTGATATGCTTGGAAGTAAAGTAATTTCGTGGGGTCGAGCTGAGGGTACAAACAAAAAAAGATTCATGAGTTGATAATTGCAGCTAGGTGATGTATGTGTGGCAATTCAATATACTGTTCTCTCTACTTTTGCGTATATATGCATTTTTCAATTAAAAATGCTTGTTTTGTGTGTGACTGTTGGATAGAAAAACATTTCCTCTTTTCTTCCAAATAACCCCAGCCTGTTCTATTCTCTCCTTCACTGTGTCCCCTCGATATTTATGGACTCGTTTCCCTTGGAATTGTTTAGCACATCCTGCTCTGTGATAATTCTTGTCTAGTAAGCCAGAAACTCCCCATCGCGGAGACCTCCTGCCTTGTTAGCCAGGCTTTCCCCAGAAAAGGAACTGATCCTCTCGCATCCAGCTTTGGACACACTCATGGGGTACAAGCACGCTCTGCACCTCAGGCTTCTTGGAGAGTGGGCTGCTATTAGCTCACTGACCTCAGGTTGCCGTCCAACCACATGGTTGCAACAGGGTCACAGGCAAATAAGCCTTTTCTTCACAGTAAAAATTCAAACATGACCAAAAGCTAATTCACAGACCATGGAGACAACCGGGCATCTTCAGGTGGCTCACCCACTGAGTATTATGCTCCTACTCACTGTTCTGTCAGGTGCTGTGTCCCTACCCTTTTTTCTGTCTAATGCTTATTTTCTGTAAACTAGTCGCAAAGCCTTCAGTGTGGAAGAAAATCTTATACACTTGGCTTTGTACATTTTGCACAAGCTAAAATAAAACAAAAAGTAAAATATACTGCAAAAAAATGCTTTGCTCAAGAGGAATAACAATGTATTGAAGGCCTAATTCCTATGCCTAGCACTGTCCTAATAGAAGGTATTATAAGGTGAGCTACAGAAGTGTGTGATTGTTTTTCTGTGTATGGTCGGAGAATTAAAAAAAATAGTTACAGTATGGTAAATCAAACCCACATACCATAATGTTTGCTTGTTCAAGGTATTCAGGAAGCAGCCTAGGATGGACCAAGTCATTCTTGAGCCTGGTAGTAATCATGAGCTATTAGAGAGGAAGGGGGAAATTTGGGTGGCCCTTAAAGGGTGAGTGAAATCAGCCATATGGAGGGGGAAGATAATGTTTTTCAGGGCTAGTGTTTCCAGAACAAAAGCTCCAAGACAGGCTTGTTCTGGGGAAAGCTTGGCTATAACTCAAATCTATGAGAAGGACGTGGAGGTGAGATAGTGTTGCAGTGCCTTGAATGTTAGTCTAAGGAGTATGCAGTTTAATCCATAAGCAGTGGCAACCATTGAAGATTTTCAAGTAAGTGATATATTTTAGTAGTTCAGTTTTTACTATCAGAGAAATAATCTTGTATTTCAAAGACCTTATATAACTCAAAAAATAAAACCAAATCTGACCTAAGCCTCACATAATTCATAGGACATAAGACTTGTAATCCATAGGACACAGGGCATCCTTTCTTTTTTCTTTTTTTTTTTAGATTTTTATTGGGGAACTGGGGGGATGGGAACAGACCAGTTGCTGTTGTTTTGTTCTTCAGTCTAGTTGTGGAGGACGTTGCTTCACTGGCCCAAGTTGGCACCATCATTGCGCTCTTTCCAGGCGAGGCAGATCAGTCGCAGGCTTCTGGACGGCCGCTCACTGCGGCTGCTGGCCACTCACGCTGGCTGCTGGCTACACACAATAGCCCATGGCAACCCACTGCAGCAGGGGCTGCAGCCTACGCCGTCGCCGGCGACTCACGGCAGCCCAGCTCCAGGTTGAGCTGTTGTTCAGCATCTTAGCTGTAGAGGGCAGTGTCACTGGCCCTCATATGTGGGATCCGAACCGGGGCCCTCTGGCGTCCCAAGCCAGTTCTTAACCATCGAGCTACTCGGCCGGCCCCAGGGCATCCTTTCTTCATTCATGCAGTAAACCTCTATGGAGCCCTTGCAGTGGACTTGGCATTGTGCTGGGTGTTGGAAGGGATGGATGACGAAGGCGTGTCGTGCCTGGTACATAGGAGTGAAACATATATTTGAATAATTAAGTCAGTGAATGGTAGCATAACAGTGACAACGAAGGGGGGTCCGGATTTCGGGCTTGGTGGTGGTAGTGCAAGAAAACGAATGAGCTCTACTTTACTTGAAAGCATCACCAGGCCATTCCTTACAGCCTGACTCCACAAATTTACCTGTGTCCAAATGGGTAATGATGGTGGGCAGAAGGAATAGTAGTGCTCAGATAGAAAACAAAGGAGGTTGTATGGGGAGAGAAGTGTAAGAGCTGCATAATGTCCTCCAGTGATTCAAATAATTGAAAGTTGTAATAGTAAATATTTACTAAACACTTTTTACGTGCCAGATACTGTTCTAATTGGCTTCCGTAGTTGTTTATTATTAATATTTGTTATTGCTATGCAATAGACCCTTTCAACCTATCTATATAACTGTTTTATAAGAATAATGTATAATTGAAATGGGGGCATGGTGGAGCATAAGGACCTGAGGAGGCCAGGGGAAAGAGATAAATAGTAACAGAAGATATGATTTTACCTTATTTTACTATTTTTCAGTCTTTGAAGGATTGCGGTATGAGTCCTTTTCGTTCATGCGTTTGTAAAATAGTTCATCCAGTGAAGACAATGAAGATTATTGACAATGCTACCCTGCTTTTTCTGTTGTCCTGCGCTGGGAAGTTGTGATTTTAAGGTAATATTAGCAAAAACTTACTAATGGGAGAAGAAAAGTAAGAGTTGATTATGACACTAAATTAATTGATTATGACATTAGAAATAGCCAAACAAAAACCAAAAAGCTATCTACAAATGATAAAATTGAAACCATTTCTCCACTATATGAAACCATATCTACCATACAGTAATAATGTAATTCTAAGCTGTTTTGTTTGTTTCACTCCTAATTACCTTATAGTTTCTGTTACTGTGAAGTGTATTTTTTAAACCACAGTTTTCTGATTATTGCTGGCAAATGAGAACATGATTGATATTTTTACATACTGACTTTAAATGCTTCAGCCTTTCTGAATTGTACTTGTTTTGATAATTTATGGATTCTCTGTTAATTATTTTGGGAATAATGGCAGTTTCTTCTTTTCCAATATTTTTTAGCAAATTTTTAGCTTGTTTTACTATGCTAGCTGGGATCTTTAGTACAAGGAGAAATAGTAGCAGTGATCGAGAGTTTCCTTGTCTTGCTACTGAATTTACAAGAGAATTCTACAAATGTTTGACCATTTTTAGTAGATTTTCTCTTCAGGTGAAGGAAGTTCCTTTCATTATTAGTTTCCTGAGACTTTTTATTATGAATGAATGTGCAGTTTCTTATCCAGCTACTTTGTCTGTATTTACTACTATGATTATATGGGTTTTTTTTCTCCATTAATATGGCAGTGTGACAAGTTACAGTAATCAATTTTCTAATGTATCTCTTGTTTTTGGTTTCATCAGACCTCGTCATTGAATATTTTTTCCCTATTTTAATAATTTTAATTAAATTTATTGGGGTGATAATGGTTTGTAAAATTACATAGGTTTCAAGTGTACATTTCTATAACACATCATCTATATAACACATTGTGGCCTCACCACCCAGAGACACTTCTCGGTCCATCAACCTTTACCCTCTTCTACCATCTCCCCTCCTCCCTTACTCTCTAGTAACCACCAAACTGTTGTCTATGTCTTAAAGTTTTTGTTTATTTGTTTATTTGTCTTGTTCCTTTGTTGCTTTCAGTTTTATATCCCGCATATAAGTGAAGTCATATGGTTCTTTTTCTGTCTGACTTATTTCACTTAGCATAATAATCTCAAGGTCCATCCATGTGGTCGCAAATAACAGTAGTTCATCTTTTCTCATGGCAGAGTAGTATTCCATTGTGCATATGTACCACATCTTGATCCAGTCATCTATTGAAGGACACTTTGGTTGTTTCCATGTCTTGGACACTATAAATAATGCTGCAGTGAACATCGGGGTACATATATCTTTACAGATAAATGTTTTCAGATTTTTTGGGTAGATACCCAGGGGAGGGATTGCTGGCTCATATGGCAATTTTATTCTTAATTTTTTGAGAAACCTCCATATTGTTTTCCATAGTAGCTGTACCAATTTACATTCCCATCATGAGTATATGAGGGTTCCTTTTTCTCCACTGCCTCTCCAACACTTGTTATTACTTGACTTGTTAATAATAGCCATTGTAACAGGTATAAGGTCATATCTCATTGTGGTTTCGATTTGCATTTCCCTAATAGCTAGTGAAGTTGAGCATTTTTTTCATATATGAGGTCGGACAATTAAGTTCACGAACTCATCCAGAAAAAGTGCTACATACTTCATTGCTGAATATCACTACGGTCACCTTCAAAATACTTCCCTGGGGAAGCTATGCACTGACGCCAGTGCCTAGTCCACCCTTCAAAGCAATTTTGGAGTTCTTTTTCTGGAATGGCCATCAGCGCTGTCATCGTATTACCTTTGATGTCCTGAATGGCATCAGAATGTCTTCCTTGCAATATTTCCTTTACCTTTGGGTAAAGAAAGAAATCATTGGGGGCCTGATCAGGTGAGTAGGGAGGGTGTTCCAATGCAGTTGTTTGCTTCCTCGGTAAAAACCCCTTCACAGACAGTGTCAGACAGTGTTGTGTGAGCTGGTGCATTGTCATGATGCAAGAGCCATGAATTGTTAGCAAAAAGTTCAAGTCGTCTAACGTTTTCATGCAGGCTTTTCAGCTCTTCCGAATAGTAAACTTGGCTTGGCTAACTGTTCAGTCGGTACAAATTCATAATGAATAATCCCTCTGATATCAAAAAAGGTTAGCAACATTTTGCAACAAGAGTGTGAACTTAATTGTTAGACCTGATATTTATTGGCCATATTTATGTCTTCTTGGGAGAAGTGTCTGTTCAGGCCCTCTGCTCATGTTTTAAAATTGGATTGGTGTTTTTTGTTGTTGTTGTTGTTGTTGAGTCCTATGAGTTCTTTATATACCAGGGATGCCAAAAAATGTATACAAGTGGACACTTTGGTCAACGTTGCTGAAGCAGTAGTTCACCATAATCAGAATTGTCTGGGTGCTAATGGTAACTACTTTGAGCACCTCTTGTAATTGAGGAAGTCAAATGTGACTTGTATTCATCTTTTGTTATTTGTATATATTGAATATTACAATTTTAATACTGTTTTCCTTTCTTAAAATCTGTATAAATTTTTTTGGCTCCCTCTTTATTTTATTTTATTTTTTTAAAGATTTTTATTGGGGAATTGGGGGAAGAGGAACAGACAAGTTGCTGTCGTTTTGTTCTTCAATCTAGTTGTGGAGGATGTTGCTTCAGTGGCCCAAGTTGGCACCATCATTCCGCTCTTCTCTGGCGAGGCAGATCAGTCGCCGGCTTCTGGACGGCCGCTCACTGCGGCTGCTGGCCGCTCACGCTGGCTGCTGGCCGCTCACGCTG